AAATATTTGTAACGAGTTTTATGTCTCTAAATTAAATATGTAATTAAAATTACAGTTTAAATTTAAAATAAATATTTTATGTTTTGTAATAATGTTTTCAGCTCTATAAAAATGAATAATCTCATGAAGTTTGTTTTGTTACTAAATTATGAATTTTCATCTGAATCCAGAATTCACATCATATTTGCTTATAGAATATATGTATTAATTAAAATAGAGTATTTTCTTTTTATTTTCTAAAAATAATTGCGAGTTTTTAAAATAAAATTTTGTAAATAACTTATGAATAATATAAAATACAGAAAAACTTTTTATTATTTCTAAAGCAAGTACGAATGAAAAATAATGTGACTTGAACTTTTAATTAAATTAAAAGCCGAGTAGTGCACATTACATTTGCACAACGTTTTATGAATTGCCAGGTGGAAATAAAGAGAAAGAAATAACGAAGATGTATAGATCAGACGTTAAAAAGAGATGAAGAAGTTATGAAATCTTAAAAAATTCTTAGCAACTTGTTAATTACGTGAGTTGGTTTAATGTAGACGAGGGTTGGTGGCGGCGGTGCCCATTATCGGCTTTGAGAAACTCGAGGAGCAATTAAAACGTTGCAATGTGTAATTTGTGTGTTTGCGAGCGCATTCGCCACCTAAGGCTCGGTGGATTTAGTAGTAATTGCTGTGGGAACGAGGAATGCTAATTGTCTATTTATTTTGAGTCAAGGCCCGCAGAAATTTCAGAGCAAGCCCTGCCCAACCTTGCCCTGCCCTCCATTAAGCTTCCGCACGTATTTCCAACCGAAAAGGAAGATGAGTTGAGAAACAGGATGAAGATGAGGAGGAAGCCTGTATTTCGACCGTCGTACACACGACTCTACGCCCACCTCGAACTTCCCCCAAGGACATTAAAGCCAAATTGCCACGTTACACAACTGCACTTCAGTTTTTCATCTGATCATATTATATATACACCACACACTGAGAAGAAAAGGTATTGTATCGAACACCCAAAGCGCATTACCTGGCTGCTTCGCAGTTTGTAGTTTCCTTCCTTCCATTTTTATCTACTTCGCTTCCTTCTCCACTTCATCTCTGCTTTCTTCTCCTCCCATTTTAATACAAACTAAACTGAAAACGTTACATAAAAGTTTCGGTTTACGGACTCCGCGCATACTAGTATTGTTAATCAACGACAATGAAAAGCTTCATTGTACCGCAAATGTTTACTTGAGTTTTTCATCAAGTTTATAGAAAGCAATTACAATACACAAAGTTACCTTAAATATATAATGTCAGTTCTTAATCATTTAAAGACATATTTTGATGAATAAACAAATGCACAAATTAACCCTTTGTGGACAGAGATTAGTCAAGATCGGATTTTCAACTGTTTCTTGTGAAAATTATGTTGTGGATAATACAAATGGCGCCTCTACAGAACACCTGTAAAGGATAGGGCGGATATATCCGCCAAATCTACACAAAGGGTTTAGTGTGCTCTAATGATTTGTCAAAATCATAATCCATACTAAATGATCTTATTTTTTAATAGATTTATAATAATTTATTTTAATTTAATACGCTTATAAATGTATAATAAAGAATTAATTCAAATTCAGTGTAAAAGTGGTGATTAGGAAGTAATGATGTGAAGCGAATGCAGTTAGCACGCGTTTCGTTGTTCCGCACGATTAATACGTCCATTCCAGATTCAGACAACTCCCCAAACGCACGATAATTGCAAAATTAGTGACATTAGGAATTAAGCTAATTACTACTGAACATTAATTAAGTATTTTTTACTTGACAACTTGTTTAAATACTAACAAACCATAAACTATTTAGAACTTGTACAACTTGTATACTTCTTAGTATACTTTAAGTGATGCTTGTTATGTAACTAGCAGTTAATTACATGGATGAGTTAATAAATTACAAGTGAAATTACTATGAATGAAAAGTACAGGTAATGTGTTGTTTTACTTTAATCGTCATGTAATTATATATTAAATACTTGAACTACTCAACATTCTCAAGTAAGCACAAGTAATGTTCCAAGCTGTACACATTACTACTATATTATACAATGTAGACTGTACATGCTACTATTATAATAACTTGATCTTAATTACTTTAGCAAATTCTTTCAAGCAATTTACTTTTGGTTACTTGAATAAGTATTGTCAAAAATAGAATTGTTAAAAATTGAAAATATTTACTGACAAATTACTTATATTTACTTTTCTAAGTAAATACGTCATAATTTACAAGTGAGTATGAAGACTAGTAAGTTACCAATTTTAAAGCAAATACAAAAAAATAAATAAACAACAAATCCGGATGCGCAATTAACAGGGAGGATGAAGACTTCCGGCCGCGAACAACTTGAGATGGAATTCGCAATACAAATTACATTTGTACTCTGGGGTATGTTGCGGACTGCGGCCGTGTAATTAGTTAAAAGCACAGAACGTAATGAGCACGGTCCGGGATTTAATTTAGGAATAATTGTTGAAATATACGAAAAAGGGGAATTGCTCCAAATAAATAATCATCAAGTGTTTGTTCAAAATATAAGGGAGTTGGAAAGGGAAAGGACAATTACAAGCGCTGATCCTTTAATATGTTTATTTTCGGTCGTAAATACATTCCCATTTTCAGCAGGAATTTTCACAGCATTGCGCTCAGAGTTTTATGATTCCCACTTAATTTATTTACGGTTTTAATATATGAAATATTTCAGTTTCCATTTATATAACATTTAAGCAAAAGTATATACAATTTGATAAAAATGCTAAATGTATTTATTCTGTTTTTTTATATAATTATTATGTGATTTGTTCATATTACTCTAGTATTGGTATTGAGGGTCTATATTGAAATCCCCATTGAAATCCTGATAGTATCAAAATTAATCTAAATATGAATAAGTCTATATCAAATAATAAAATCCCGACATTTTGATAGTATCGAGATTATGGTTGTCGGGATTATTATTATGTGATTTGTTCATATTAGTATTGGTATTGAGTGTCTAGAATGAAATCCCCACAACCGAAATACCGACAGTATCAAAATTAATCTAAATATGATAAGTCTATAACAAATAATAAAATATACTGTCGGGATTTTGATACTGTTCAGATTATGGTTGTCGGGATTTTGATATTGTCGGGATTATGGTTGTTGGGATTTTGATACTGTTAACTACTGTGTACTATTACTGTGTACTATTAAAATATCTCCCATCCAAGTATAACCCACCAAAAACGTTGTTTAACTAAACAGAAAGTTGAACATAGTTTAATTTATTCAACACAAAACATCATTACTTTTTCAATTTGTTAATTGTTCGGAAACGAAAATCAAACAAGCTGAAATAATGCGAAATCGAACAATGGACCAGAATCAGGCTATCCGTATTCATATAATTATTATACTCCATTTGGAATATTGGTTGGATCGGCCTTGCCATGTAATTACAATTAATTGATTTCGATAATAGATTAAATTAATTAGTTCCATGCGCGATGTTCGTTACGAACTAAATAATAAAAAAAAATTAAAGGGAAATCATCGATTATAAAAATTGCGGCGATCGACTGAGCATTAGTTTTGAGTTAATTAAAATTCAATGGCTCGCTAATTAATGTAATCCATGAATAAACAGTTCCAATTATTAACATAATTCTGTTGTCGGCTTTTGCGTTGAGAGCTTTACATAGTTCATCGAAGCATATATTAAAAATACATACATATAAACATAGAGTAAAAAGATTATTTTTAAATTAATACATTTACAACATATTTTATAAGTTTGATAATAACTGGTTTTTTATAATGTTATTCATCAAGTACAAATAATTACATTAATAAATAAATTAATATTGATTATTATTTGCAAAAATATGTATATTTCAACAATAATTGTTATTCGTAGTTTCTAAGTGAATAAACTACTGTATTATTGAATTGCGTAATAAAATATTGTTTTCTAAAGATCTGTATACGTTTATATTAATCAATTATAATTAGGTTTACGTCAAGCAGACTAACATAATCAAAAAATAAGAATGATTAATTAAAATAACTTAAATATATCGAAATCCTAAGATTATTCTTTAATAAATTTGGTATAACTTCTTCTATAAAAGTATTCGGTTGTTACATAAGTCCGTTCGTATTTTGGCGAGCACACGTAGATATTTAGATAACGATAGTTGTAATGTGCAGTTAAACCTACATCTAATGTAAAGTTTATTTAAACTAGTTTGTGACCTTGTTAAAAGCGAAATGAAAAAACAAAACGAACATTTTCGGCATATCATGCTATATTATTTCGAAATGGAAAAACGCAACTGTAACAGTCAAAAAGATATGCGACAAAAGTGGTATGCTCGGTTCAGAAACAGAGAGTTCGAGCTTAAAGAGAGAAATATGAAATTGAGCCAGATTGATATAAAATAATGGACAATACATTTAATAATAAATGCTTTTTCTATAATATACATCTTTTTTAAAAGAACGGACTTATGTAACAACCCAATATTATTAAAAATTTATATAAAAATTATTTTTTTCAAGATATGTGAAGTTATACCTTAGAAAATTTTACGAAATTTTGCTATATTTGAAAATTACTTAGTCATGTCAAGAGATTGGGTAAATAGGTGATGAAAAAACGTCTCTCTTTGCTGATTAGAAATCGACATTTATGTTGAGCAGAGTTTTAAATAATGGACATCTTAACGTGGAATTAACTTATTCGTGAATCAAAGATTACGCAAGTATCAAGTAATAATTACTATTATTTGATCAAACCAAAAAAACTCTCTGTAATTATATATAACAGAATTTTCAATGATGAATATCACATATCACATCTTTGTTTCACTGCGATTGTAAATGAATTCAAATTAAAGTTGAGCAACGTATTCAAAATCAAATAGAGGTTTTGCAACTCAGTTAAATGATAAATGCCTTTCATGGAAATGTACTTACAATTGCGATCCTCTGCGGCTGTTCCTTCTGTCTTTGGTATCCGGAATAATGAGAGCAGCCGGACCCGAGGTCTCAGGGCTCGGGGGACTCGGAGGGTCGGCGGGTGGGACTCGGAAAGAAGGTCTACGACCTGTCGGACCCGTCGTCACCGTGCTTAGGCCTGGCACCGTGAACACGTCGTAGGCGGAGGCCCGACGGGGCATCGGGGCTGGAAGACCCAGACCCAATTCGTTACCACCGCCGCCGCCTCCACCGAGTGCCCCACCGGTCGCGTTTACCCCGGCGGAGGTCTTGTTAACCTCTTCGTCGTAGCTGTGCTGTCTAGCCACAACCCTCGAGCCCCGCCGAGACCTGCTCATCGTCGGGGTAGCCTCCCTTGGGGGACTGTTAGCCCGACTGGTGGCACCACTGCGGCCCCCGCGTCTGGCCCAATCCTCCGTCTTCTGTCCGGTACCTTTCAGCTGAAACAAATTTCAAAAAAGTACCGCGGTTTAAATTTGGTGCAACATTTAATCTAAGCTACGCTACCGAACAGCTATTTTGTACGTGTGTCTGTTGTTGTTGTTGATATCTATACTGAAAATATATAAAAATTATCAATTATATTATACTTATTACAACATTTAAAGCACAAAGCAAATCACTACTAAAGCAACTACAAACAATTCTAATAAAATACACCATAGCATAACGTTTTAAAATTACGTTGAATTAAAATTCAGATATACTAAAGTTCTTGAACTAAAAAAACTTATTAAAAACAATAAAGAAAAAAGTAATAAATAACTAAAAAAAAATCATAATTTTAAATTAATAATAAATATTTATAATGAAAACTTTTACTCTTAATTGAAATAATCCTAATAGTAGAAACAGAATCATCTTTGACTTCAGAAGACAAATATTCAAATAAGTTTAATTAATAACCTATTTCTTAATTATTTATATAGTTTAATTTAGACAATGAAGCAACAGTAAAATTATAGTTTATAATATGCAGATATAATTCTTATAATATATAAATTTATGTACGTATTTTTTTACATAAAAATAAGCGTGCAACAAACATGCAAATATTTTCGTTTTCACGTAATACCTCCATACAAAAACCAAATCTTTTGCCAAATTTGGATAAATAGTTTGTAAATAACTTCAAAGTCATATAACTCAATAATATTAATGTATTTATCAAATCGAATTACCAAAATAATTTTATACCATTTATTTTTAATTAAAACGTGCATAAAAATCATTTTACTCAAACAATTTCAAATATTGGAATAATTTTATTGTGAAATAATTTAATTTTTGTTATTTCAATTGTTTGCACCTATAATAAAAATGTAAAACGAATATTTTCAACAAGTTTAAATCTATTTATACAATTTTTAAATCTATTTTTGCATCGTGTTCAAAGCAGTAGCAGCTACAACAACAACAAAAATCACTCCAATTCCGCTGAAATCAATCTGATTTTCAGATGAATCAGTGCCAGGAAATGGAAAATGTAACGCTGTTAATATGCTGAAGCCCCCCACGCACGGCAACGATGTAATGCTATCCAATTGTAATGTGAATTAGTAAATATGGTATTGATCGATTTGCGACGGCTTACGCGTTTGATGCTATGGTTATTAATTATTAATACCGTATTTTCAAAGCCAATAAAACTCGGTGTTTGCGTTGGAATAATGTTACTTTTTTTTGTGTAAAAAGAAATAAATTGAAAACCTTTTTCTTTTGAGGGTAACATTATATAAGAGCAAATATATAGGGCATCTTCTTAAAGCCCCTACGCACCTGACACTCGTGTTATCTCTGGCAAAGTTTGGTTTTGTGGCCTCCGACATTGCCTCGGATATTTGAAACCATTCAAGGGCTTAAAATTTCTCGTTTATATTGCAAGAAAACCTACAATTCAGCAAATAAACTTAAACTATTGAATGTTAAATTCCTTTATAGTCACGCATCAATGAATACTTACAGTTTTATTAACTTTGAATGAGATTGACAAAAAAAAAACTAATATAGTTTTATTTGCTTTTATGATGTAATTTGCTATATTCGAAACATTCAGATTTTACAGACGTTATCAATTTATGAATTCTACAAATTTTATGAAAATAAGGATAATATTAATTGCTTGGAAAACAATACAAAATAACTATATTATTAAGCTACATTAAATTTATATCAAATAAATATAGTCCTAAATTATTTATGATCAAATCAAAATTTATTATAGTATCATAAAATTTAATTTACTGAATTTATCTACATAAATATAAACCAACTTTTAGAACTAATTATACTGATAATAGTATTTTATAGCTATATAATTAACTATTTTATTGCTATTCGACAGTTTTTTTTTGCTAAATAACTGCAATTATTAATACTTTATTTTCGTTCATATCATGAGGATTTAGTCTTATCTGATAATACCTTATATAAATTAGAATTGTAATAGAATTAAATTATTATGATTTAGTTAACAAAGTTAATTGAACAAATTAAAATCAAAATTATTAAATCTAGAATTAGTCTATGAATTACATTAATTAGTAAATCGTTGTTACGGTTTGCGATTTTCTTATTTTGCGAAGGAATTGTATTTCAATAGATAGTTCGTTAAGTGTATCGGTTTACGGAGAATCGGGAGAAGCAATATAAAGCGGTAAAAGAATCTCTGATTAAAAATCTGATCAAAGGCATGTCCAAACCAGGACTTCATTGTAGTATAAAAGCGATTGATCCTGTCCTTCCATTAAAGATAACTCTACCGCAGAACAGCGGAAATTGATCACAAAAGAGATATAATTTATGAAAAAAAAAATATGAGAATTGAAAAAAACTATACAAACAATTACTTATTAACTCTACCACAGAAAATGACAAAGGAGATATAATTCAAGAATAATGAAGAATATTTGGAACTGAATACAAAAGCTTTCTAATCTCCAAGGAAACCGTTTCATTTCAGGTTCGTGCGCACGTTTTCACCCTCCGTATTTCTTTTCCGTCGTTGCTGCTTGCCCCTAGCACAAATATTTTCTTTCGTTAAATATTGTATCGCGCGTTAAACATTTGTTTGGTAAACCGTTTGATTTGTGTCCATAATTTCCAATGCGCACCCTTCTTTTTCCGTCTTCCATCATTTATTATTGAAAAGAAAAAATGACGGATTCGATCGACCGATGTAGGCCATCCTCGTGCCTTTCGAAAAGCGAAAGATATGCAACAAATACTGTTTACGTAATCCGCGCCAGTGATTTCATTGCTGCTGTATAATATTTATGAAATATCGTAGCATTCTCTATTGGAAGGCAATTACACTCAAAATGCATAAAGGAAGTCTTGTGTAAAAAAATATACGGCGGATATATACGCCATTCATCCGAAAATGAATAAAATTGTTAAGAATATACTTGCATTCATTGCTGCTGTAGATTATTTATGAAAGATCGTAGTATTTTCTATGCTTATTAAATTTTCAAATTCCTACAATCTAGCACTGCATAAGATGGGAGGCAATTATACTCAAAATGCATAAACGATGTCTCGTGTTAAAAAATATAAGGCGGATATATCCGCCAGTCGTCCGAAAATTATTAATATTGTTAAGAATACACATTATTATTTCATTGCTCCTGTATATTATTTATGAAAGATCGTAGCATTCTATATTTGCTTATTAAATTTTCAGATTCAACAAACTAGCGCTGCATAAGATGGAAGGCAATTACACTCAATTGGCAATTAGATTCCGAATGGAGGCGGCTTTAGGTGAAAAAGAAAACAGTGAAAAGCAGTTAATTAACCTACTTCCCCCCTTTCATCTCTTCTCATTGTATGCGTGTATTTCAGTGTGCTTTACTTGGCTTTCCACTCGCTCGTTTGCTAGTAGTTAATTAATGGTATATGGTGATCGGGTGTTCGGGTGTTCGGTTCAATTCACACCCTGCGGACGATTCGATTTCGCTGGCTGAGTTATACGATTCCACTTACTTTCTCCAATTCCTTCAAGGATGCTGGGGACACGTCCGAGTGTCTTCTCAATTCAGGACTCCTCGGAGGTGCTAATCCACTTCCGACGCCCGGGGTCAGACCTCCAGACGATCCCAGCCTCGCTTCCGAATGCCTCCTCTGCAATTCCTGCATCGGTATCTCCAACAGACTCTCGGAAGAGTCCTGTTGCATTGCTGCACGAGACTGTATTTTCCTGAAAACAACAAAAACATCAAAAATTGTGATTTCTAATTAAATGTAAATCTATTATTGATTTGAACAGATTTGACACAAATTATTATAAATATCGTCCACTTTGTATCAATACTTTTGAAAAATTAAAGCCTTTTCCAACCATTAATATTTAATAAAAATAATGTTATCTGAAACTTAATTATTATAAGATACTAATCATAATGGTCGTTGGTCAGTTGTGACTAGAATCTCCAAAACATAGTTGTATAACTGTGATAATACGTGTTTTTTTAATTTAAGAATGTTATAATAAATATAGTTCTTAAAAACACGAAATTGCGGCTTTTAATTACAGGAAATAACGCTAATTAAATTCACGCAAATATGGACAACGTTCGATGCCAATTATTTTTCGAAAAATGTTCGTTCGTTATCGTATATTTGAATCGATGCCTTTGAAAAATAAAACTTATTTTTTTATGTTGTTGTTGTTCATCCCATTTTGCTCTTTTTGCACTTTGCCGTAACGATGTTCATTAATTGTAAGTGATTTAATCCGCGCTTCAAAAAAAAAATTGAGAGCTTCTCTTTATTTAATTAGCGCGACGCGAACATCCTTTTATTAATTAGCACTTGGCCTCCTCTCTGTGTTTGCATTTTTTTTTTCAACTAGATTTAGAAAAGGTAATGCGTTCTTAATAAGTTGCAGTGAAACATTATTTCCTCAATTTAGGGATAAAATTTGCTCTCAGACAGATTTTAATTATGTAATTTTTTTTAATATTACTGTTGCATTTTTATCCAAATACTAATTATAAGTATACATTTTATATACTATGCTGTTAATTCTCTAGATTATATAATATTTTAATAATAATACAAATAATTCACAGACATAGTAAAAATTGAACAACTGTAACTTCCACTTCATATGTAAGGTCCAGCAGATTTGTGGCCCTGATTATATATGATAAATGTTAATACGGTGAGTGATTTTACCTGCGACAAACGCTGCATGTCCATTTTGTCGGATCCTCGTCTTCGGCAAGTTTGCTGTAGGAGGCGCAGTCCTCGCAGACTCTTTGGGAACATCCTGCACAGGTTTTGCTGAAGTCATCCGGCTTAAAGGCCTTCAGGCATACCCGACATGCACCTGCCCTACTGGGTGGCTTTCCCGGCTCATTTTTCTGCACGGCCAGAGATGCCGGAGGCGGCGGCTTCTCTTCCGCCACCGGGGCGATCGTTGAATCAATATCCGGTATTAGCGACGGTCTTGGTGACATTTTATTCACTGCAACGGAAGAACGATAACATCATTGAATAACTCTATATAGATTATAATATGGATGACATTATTGTATAAAATATTAGAAGATTATTTATATCAAGGGAATTTTCGAAAGGTTTCTGAACTTTGATGGGAAAAGGATGGAGTTAAAATATAAAATTATCTGTTCGCTAAATACATTTATATTAAGAAAAATAATAATTTTCCATATATATAAATTAATAATAAAAATGTAATTGCATAATCCAGTTGTTTCCAAACTTACTACGCCTCCCTCAAAAGTATGTTATCATTTGGCGCCTCCCCACACCCCTCCATTTCATAAAAGGAACGCGTATTACAGCAATATGTATAAGAGCACAGGAATGTATCTATACTTTAGCAGATATTTGTAAAATTGCTCACTGCTACTAATATTCTCGCCTCCCCTTAGACTAGTCCATGCCTCCCCAGAGAGGCGCGCCTCACAGTTTGGAAAACGTGTTTTTTACAAAAATATAGGGCGGATATATCCGCCAGTCGTCCGAAAATGATTAATATTATTAAGAATATATTTGAAAATTACTTAATTTTTAATATTTATTTTTTAATCTAAAACAATAGTTTATATAGAACAGAAATGTCTTGTATAATTCATTCTCTTCAAAATTGAAAAGGTAATATTATGAAATAAAGCTGCAGCAGTCATCGATTCCGGTGATGTTGTAACGTATTGCAAAAGTTCCATGAAACGTAAATTCGTCAAAGCAGAAATCTCGTTTCACCGTTGACACGAGACGACTAGAAAAATCGCCCGAAATGCATAAAATGCATCGCTTTTAATATTGTTAGGTACACAGATGTGTCGACCTCAAATAAAACGCGACGGCGTTTCGCAATTTTCGCGAATACCGAGAGAAAAAAAAACTCCACCTAACAATTTCATTTTTATCGAACTTTCGCGCAATATTTCGGCGAGGAGAGGGGCGGAGGGAGGAAAAAATTCCGGTGAAAACTTTGATGAAATTCCGCAGACAAACGGAACGTAATGAGGCCACGTTGCGTGTACATATCCCTCTGCCTTTACATTTTTTTGTCTCTCTTTCTCTCTAGCTTGTTGGCTGCTGAAAAAGCAATTCCGAAATGTAATGAAAGCAAAAAGAAAACTGGGGGGGCGAAAATAAAATGCAGGGACGATTGCAATTAGACTGTCATGATTCGTATTACGGACGCACTGCTGCACTTCTGGGTCACACATATAAATATTAAAGCTCGAATTATACGTATTTCATAGAATTAACTTTACACGATTGCATTTATTAAACGCCTCCAATTCATTAAGCTTTTTAATTAAACAGTTTGTGCTTCGAATAGTACTTGATAATTTTTCTATTTCATTGAAAATTTGTCTATAGGTTTAACAATAACACTTCTTCCTAAATCTAGATCATTTTCAATAAAAAAAAATAAATCGTTATCAATGTAAGCACATTTCTAAACCTTGTTGACATTATTTCAGCACGAACTTTTCTAAATCTTTTACTGAAAAACCTTCATCTTCTGTAATCAATACATTTGCAGACGATTTGAAATAGTGATTGAGATCGTTATATCAACATCCGAAAAAAAAAACATAAGTTAACTCGGGTATCGTGTCAAATCTAGAAATATTCATAATTCTATTATTGTTCATTGATAAATAGGTAATGAACGAGGTAGTTAATTTTCATGGATACTTAGGTTCGATCCCCAACGAGGAGTGTCACCTATAAAGTTTTGGTGTCGCCATCCCTGCTCTAAGATATCTTCATTTTTAATTCTTTGATTGTTATTTTCCACTTACGGTACAATTTTTGATCATATTTTATGATTGCCTTTAAATATTTTTTATCTTAAATGAGACTTGAAATTGAAAATTTTGTTATATCAAAGCTTTGTTATTAGAGGTAATGTTAGCCGGGGTATGACTGTATGATATTTGCTAGGTATACAAGAAATTCAGAGTTCCATATATACTCTCGATTATGATCGACCATTTTAATACTCCTCCCACGTCCCGTCGATCTCAATTAATTCTGTTATTGCATCCGACCATCCGCATTCCGATAAGTCCAAAACCTAACATCGGAATGCAGCAATAACATTCCCGATCTACGATGTTCTTTTCGGGTGCGCATGGAATATTTTGAAAAGCATTCCACAATCTACTGAAATACTATGATTGTTTCCATCCTATTAATTCCAATTCGCATAGTTTATGATTATTATTATGCACATATTATTTGTAACTATAAAATATCCATAATATCAATGAAATAATATATTTGACTAGATTGAGTACTAAGTGTTGACTCAACAAACAATTGTGTTTGTGCATCGAAAACAGATATTTTATGTAATCCGATGCTTATGTAGCAATCGAAAGGGAAAATCTGGGCTGGAGTCCCAAGGAAACTAATTAATTTGGACTTTATCTTCGAGATGCAACAGCTTTGTGCCAGACGCATTGTTTGCTGGGGATAAAGGCTAAACAACCGTGACCCAATTCTCACTGACTTTCGTTTCGAACGAGCGAACATCGAGAAAATAACAACTCACGTTTCTCAATCCGTAATGCATATTAGATGATCGTTATTATTAATATATATACATAAATGCTACGAAAATTGTGCTACATCTTCCATGAATATCGGAGTCAACTATCACAAAGGATTTATTGCTTGTAATTAATGCTCCCAGGGAGATTACGCCAAAGCCTTTTTGGAGCCAGGCCAATCTATTTACGTGCATAAGGACTATGCTAGGAACAGTAATACGTACTCCACTATTAGTGAGATTACATAACCAATTCGATTATGTGTGTATGGGAATATTTAAGCCTCTTATGTCTCATTATTGGTTTGATTTGTTCGCACAATAATTTACAGTTTAAATTAATTCTATATTAACTAAAATCATAATATTTATTGCAATAGTAAAAAAAAACATTTTCATTCACTCTAATAATAAAAAAGATTAACTGCTACAAAATGGCTATTGACCATTAAAGTAAGTAATAGGTCTTTGCCATTATTTCAATATCAAATTAAAAATTGAGTTTTATATTATTCGAAGTGGTCTTAAACATTCAAAACTCAGAAACACTACATTTTAGAAACGTGCAACTTAGATAATCAAGAATTAATTATTGCATCTAATCAGTGCCACATCGTAGATTTTCTCAGCTTTCATAAAAACAGTGGTTTTTGCTTCAAATTTGTTTTTTTGGTAGTTTCAACTTCCAAAATTTCGATGTGTGAATCGTCCCCTTACTTTGCATCATAGAACCACACGAACCTGTATCTTATACTTAATACATAAAGTATTCTATTATATTCTTAGAATTATTTTAATAACTTAACATCAATCATCGTTTTCGGGCTATTGAAGACAGCTATCTATTTATATTTAATAAAGTTATGTTATTCATAACTTTTGATACATCATACATTCAATTTCAATTCCCATATGTATTTAACTTATCTCCACATGTCGAAAAAGATGGATCTGTCTTGAATATAATCAAAAAATAAAATTCTATGCGGATGTTCTTCATTGCATAAAGAGAACAACAATATGACTATAGCCTATAAAAGTTCTAGAAAATATTATTCAAGTTTTCTCAATCACCAATTTACTATTTCTAAAATATTTGAAATGAATGAAATAAATACAACTTAAATGAAGTATAAAATGTATTACTTAGTCAGTTAATATTTTAGATTAGTAATTACAATAAAAATTAATATTATATTATTTGAATAAAGTAAAATAAAATCTAAATTTTAAAAGGTTTTTGTAAGATCTGTCGATCAAAGAAATATATATTCCGAGTAAAAATTTGTAATTGCTATTAATTTTAATCAAGCTTTAATTGGAAGATAATCCATTAAATTAATTAATATAATAATTATCTGAACGTGACGTGCTTCAAATCACAAGCATTACATCTCAAAATTGGAACCACCCTCAGCTTTCTTCCTGTAGGGTCGAAGCGATGATGAAATTGCATGTAATGTTTTAATTGAACCGTTAGAGGGTGTAACGAAATACTCGGGTGTATCAAATTTCACGGAAATAGGTCAGAGGTTCGCGTTTTAATTGAGGAATAGTTTAGAAATAATCAATATGTCCGGGATATAGAGGGAGCTGGGGGGTTTCGAGCGGCGTTGGCTTCGAAACGGGGGTTGGATCGGAGGAGGAGATTAAACGAGGGGCTAACAATAGGGTCCGAGGTGTTTGTTTGCTTGTAGTAACAAGAGTGAGTGAGTGAGTGAGATGGAAAGAGCGAAAGACAGGTTGAAATATATTGAGTGAGAAAGAGAAGGGTTCGCGGTTGCCGACGCAAAACCACCCCCGCATGTTACGACGTCGACGACGGCGGAAAGGACGAGCCTCTCAATATTGTCCGACCTTCTTCGACCTGCAAGGGTTAACATGACGACGCGCCCTTAAGGGGTGGTTGTGCAGCCGGCGGCGTCGGCAACGTTTCGACATCGAGAAACCCATATTTCTTTCTATTGTCGCATTGGCAACAGGTGTTATATATATATATGTTGTGCTTCCAAGACAACAGACGATCCTAGGATCTATAAATATTGGGGCTTCGCCAAGGGACAAGAAGAGGAAACAACGCAAAAAAACGAAAACAAACAGAAGCAGAACTCACCACCAAACAAAAACAAAGCTGAAATCCATTGGTTTAGGTACGTGCGCGTTCTAAATTCTGAAAAGGGTTTAGAATAGGGATCCCCGCGGCGATGACTCGGCCACTTATCGTGTACGCAAGTTTTAATTGATGTCTACGCATTAATTACACAAGTGTTTAGTAAATTATTTGGCGTCTGGTAGCTAAAACTTTCGTTCGCGATTTATGAGGAGGACCGCATAAATTTCATTTTCATCTGCTGCGCCTCGTAAATAATGTCTTAGGGAGGATCCTTGATGCCGGAAGGCAGCCTAATTTTGAGTCTTGTTCGCTATGT